GATCAACAAAGCTTCGATCATCAAAATACGAATCAGCTCAACTCAACCTCGACGAGAACTGGTAGCTAGGTTTTTACGGTAGAACCGAGTCACAACTTTGGCAGCCGAAAAAGACTTGCTAGCACGTTCACTGATGCAGCACTGCCTGACCATATAGGATCTCGCCTTACATTCACCGCTTGAGATCGGGCGGCTACTATAAATCTGACGAACGTGCCGCGATTTTCCGCGTTCCTACTGCGTCGTGTGGCTGAGTCCCTGCCTTGAATCATTTGTTCAGGGATACATCATACGATGCTGTTGATTAACAGGGGGGCCGCCATCTCTTAGACATGGTATGATGGTTCCCCAACAAAGGTTTTGGTATCACGGATGAAAAGTGGAGGCACCATGTTCCGTGCGCGTGAACGAGGGGTACATGCGCGCAATTCGCAGTTTGACTCCTCACGACATGCATATGGCTGTCGTGCCTTCATTGTGCAATGGGCCCTGGCTGCCTTGGTCGTGCGTGTTTGGGTATCCAAACACCGAGGGAAATAGGAGAAATTCAGGGTTGGCACTGCCAGCTATTGCACAGGATCCGAACCCTGGCTGCGTACGCACAGCCCCCGCAGATCTTCTCCAGCGGTCTTATGTCAGAACCGGCAACTGACCCGGAGAGAGGATATCTCTGCGCTGGGCTGCGGGACTACTTTTGATTGATGGAAGACTGTTGTATGTGACTGCGTCACAACTTATGTAACACTTCACGCAACCGCTCTGCACCCATGTTACGAAACGGTTTGTGTTCGCTTGCCCGGATTTTCCACGGAGATGCCTCTTTTAGGCGATCAAAAATCCTTATGCCTTCGCAAGCCGTCATGCGAGTGGCGGACCAAAAGTTGATAGATAACCGTCTCGATCCAACCCACACGGCATATGTTAGATGGGGGATAAAACAAGATTATTATACAGGATATTCTAGTTGTGGAGGGGATCCCGCCTACTGTGACCGATCAGCCTCAGCGGACTGGTCACCACTCAAAGGCACCTCTATTGTACCAGCAATTTTCCTCGCAGCCTCTCCTTTCTTGTTCTTCCACATAATAATGTCCCCGTCATCCTCCACAAACTCGCACTGGGTGAAGCTCCTGTACAAGGCCCTAAACGTATTCGTACTGTCCCCATTGTAGTCACTTCCCATCGCCTTACGGACATGTTCGCTTAATTCAGGACCATTCCAAAACGGAATCCCGCTGAAGAAGTGGTGAGCCACGTGGTCGTGGGAGATGTTATGGAGGAAGAAACGGCCCATCCAGCCAAGCAAGGGGCGATCAACGGTTGTAACTGCGCCACGAAGGAATGTCCAAGTGTCTTTGCGGAAGTGAGGCATCGTAGGATCGGTATGATGGAGGAAAGTGAACATGACGATCCAGTGATTGGTGAAGAGGTAAGGGATGAAGTAGTATTTTACGAAAGTGGAAATGGATGTGTTGTACGTCCAGAGACCCAAAATGGAGATCCATGTGAAAAGGAGCGTGTTAGTGAAGAGGATTGGGACGCGGTCTGATTTTTTGAAGAGCGCTGAAGAAGGGGACCAGTGCTAAGGGAAGTACTAAATAAGCCCCGCTTGGGGTGACCCCAAAGAAGCAGAAAGACTCACATTTGTTCCTGGAGGATACATCGGTGAGCCGAGGGTGTTGTATGTAAGGTACAACTGCCATCCCATCAACTGCATGACCAGCATTCGACCCAAAGTCCAAATCGGGGTCTCTCCGAAGATTTCTTCGTAATCTGCTCTCTTCATCATATCCCCAGATGCCATTTTCAGCTCAGACCTTGTCTTCGGTACGTAATTCTCATCACGTTCCATCGAGCCTGTTGTCTTGTGATGTAGGTGGTGAGAATGCCTCCATGCCCAGTAGGGTGCGAGGATGAAAGTGTGCGCAATGTAGCCAATGGTATGGTTGATGAGCTGGTAGTCGGAGAGAGTCCCATGGCCCGCGTCGTGGCCAATGCAAAAGATCCCCCGCCAACTAGCGATTGGAAAAACCAATAGGTGGACCATAGTGTCCATTTAAGTAAGGAAAGCGTAAAGGGATGAAAGCGAGTGCTAGTGGAGAGGTAGGTAATAGAAGGATCGATGAACTTGGCTAGCTATAAGAAGTGATCGCATCATGGATGAGCTGTGTCCATTAAGGGGGGAATTGTGAACAGTACCTGATAGAGTGAATAGCAAAAGAAAGCATCTCGCAATGCGTAGCGGACGCCCTTTAATGTATTTTTCTTGTGGAGGTGTTTTGGGACCGCATTATGTATGTCCTTGAGTGTCACCGCAGGCAGCTCATACGGTTTGGAGAGGCGAGCCTTATACCTGGATAATGGACCAAAGCAACAAATCCCAGAAGTCAGTGGACAGGCCGGCGATTCAGAGCTGCTGCTTGAGCCTCGTGTGTTTCTACTCACTCGGGTCCGTCTTCGAAAAGGGAGGGCATGAGTCGTCTTATTGCGCAGTCAGACTCTGGTGAGCACGGAAGATAGGAAGGACGCTGACAGGGTGGAGAGGGATAACGGGCTATAGTTGTCTCATTATAAAGGTAGATTAAAAGTAGATTTCCACGGAGCCAAGAGTGTATAATGCGTATTCCATCTTTGAGGCGAGTCAATTAAGTTTTTTCGACGCAGAATTCAACAATATTCGCTGTGCAGCATCTAATTCGTTTATTCTCTGGGAGAAGGATGTTACGGAACTGGCGAGTTTGTCGGCTGTGCGAAGCCAATGCGGTGGATCAAGGTTGTAAAGCCATCGTACATTACATAATCGTGGTGTCGACAGAACGGATGTATCCTTCGGATCCAAGATTTGATTACGGAATCAACTCTAGAAAAAAATCGTTCTTGGGGTCAGGCAACTTTATTTTGTCGAAAAGGCGAACAACGTTAGCTAGATTTACAAGTTACATAACGGTGTTTAGCTTTGCTGTGATCCGTTCAGTTCAGGAGAGCCGGATCACCAGTGACAACATAAGCACCGTTACGACAATACACTCCTTGGGGTACTCTTTACATGGTCGAACTAATGGCCGGTGTCTGTCCTCCATCCCGCGCTATCATCAAGATCCTTGGTACGTGGAACCTTTCGGGGCGTAGCAATTTCACATGCTCGAACGGGTTGTCATTCAAAACGATGGCATTGATCAGCCGTGAGCGCTTGAACCTAGTACAGCATCATTCTAAGAGCTCGCCTGACGTGACAGTGATGAATCGTATTTCTGTTACTACCCACGAGCTTGATTGTTTTCATGCGGCTGCTGGCTGATATGCTTGCTCCGCCACGGCAACGGCTTTCTCAAATTTTTGGGAGGTTTTTTATGCCCCGATCAAGCCGCCGAATCTCCCCTTTCGGTTTGTCGCTTCCTTTTGAATGCTGGCCCTTTACCACAGTAGGTGGCAGTGTTGGCCTCACTCCTCAGCTATCACGGGCTCGCTTCTCCTTGGCGAGTAGGGATGTCGTTGTTCTGCACATTTGATATGCTGGAATGAGAATCCTCGCCAACTGGTGTCGAACTACCACGCCACTTCTACCCTCATGAATTCCTGTTTGATTGCCGTGTGCGAGCTCAAGTGTGAGCGATGATGCACAACGATGCTGTGATGGTGACCATCAAGTAGAAACCATGAGAAAGGGCTGTCATCCTGAAGAGAGGCTGCAGTGACGTTTGGCTCCAGCACTTGGACTTTATGTTCCGCCGATAGCGCTCTTGATAAATCACTCACAACTATGTTCACACAGCTGTGCGTTGGTGAATTGATAGGATATCAAAGGGATGCCCTTGATGGAAGTGTCGAGCAACATCCCCGCTTGCCTCGTGGCTTCTGAACAAAATAAAGGGCAACACCATCGTGGGGTTGGTTCTTCACATGTTTTGGCTGTGCACAACAGCCGGAACTTTGCCCGGCCGCCCGCTTCTATTCAGGTGGCTGGACGGTTTGAGCCAAAAGTAGATGATCGTCTGCCGCTCATCTCTCAACATGGGGACCCGGCATGTGTGTGTGCATGTGGCAGTCCCACTTTACAACAATATGCGCCATGCTGACCTCTGTCCGCATTTCAGGGCATCGGTCTTCACCCGTACCGCAGCTGTTGGCCCCGATGCCTCCAACACCGTTTCCTTCGCGGAGATCGCGATGTGTGAAAACTCTTAGTGATGAGGCATCCCTGGTCGTGCATGAAATCATTTCTGCCCAAGGCCACTCGAAGATGTTCTGCAATGACCCGCAGTAGAATGCAATCGTTCAATTTCACCCGTATTGACTCCGGCCAATGATGCGGTGGAAAGAATGATAAGTTCTCAAAACTGGATGCTAATTTCTGTGAATGCGTACTCCGGACAATGCAGAAAGATATTCAGGAAGAGAACTCGCATCTGCCCCATGTCAGTTGATACCTCCGGTGGATCATGCGGCCAACGTGGCAACCGGGAATTGGAGCTAGGTGCCGTGCGGACTCTGTCAGATGACATACCTGGTACTGTCTGTCACTAGATCCTAACTCGGTGGAAGTTAGCACGGAATATTAACGCAATGAATTTCCTGTTCAAGTCAGCGCAAAATATTAGATTTGCTCATGCTCCTAATCGACACAACAGAGGCGGCTATAGTTGACAAACGTGCTGATCTGGATGCCTTGGTCCGAAGAAGCATCAGAATGAAGATGTGCAAGCCAAAAAACCAGTATACACTTCTACGCGGAGCGATTTCGACCGGCTCTGATGCGAGAACAGAAAGAAATATGTTACCCCGCTGCAATATTTTCCACCAGTCGTTCCCCCGAATGAATGGGTCTGGGTCCCGTTGACTATCAACTAATCTCTGCATGAAGAATGGATTGTGAAAGGTACAGCGTCCAAATATACAAAAGAAACAGGGGTAGAAGACAGGGAGGATGTGACTTCACGCGTCCCGCGAAGGAGCCCGAATAGTCTGAGGCCCAGTGGTTATACTAGCAGGCTTTCCCTTGCAGCTAAAGGGTAGCAACGAGGTGCTGGCGTGTAGGAAGTTAAATCTGTCAGCTTGGAACACCAAATGGAGCGTGACAAGTGGCCAGACTTGGGAGATTATGTAATCAATTTGAATCCCTTGATTCTGAGAAGCCCTCACCTAGTCTTTACACTGCGGGGTGCCTTTAATGCGAAGTGCTGAGTTCACTCGAGTTTCTCTTGTCCGTCTTTCGGTGCTGTGACTGTCCCACTCTCGTATCATGTTCAATCGTGTGCAAGATATGGAATGCTGTTGCCATTATGGGAAACTTGAGATGATGCAGCTCTTTAACATTGTGGGGAGGGAGCATCATGGAATCCGAAAACTTTCCAGCAATAGAATTGTTTCTTTAATGGATCGAGACCTTCGCCATTCACGTTGGGCGACAGTGAGTATATGTCACCGGAATTCATGAAGGGATTTAATATAGTAGTTCCATTCGTGCCCCGACCTTGTGTGCCGTGTTTTTCAAATCTGACGTTTGATATCCATGGTGAAATTACGGAATCTCTCTCTCTCGTTCTACGATATCACACTGGGTAGATATGCCGCTTTCCTCTTTCAAACATTGCCTCAACTCACTAGTGATACAGATGTGTTCTTCCTCTCCGATGCGTTGCCCCAACTTCAACGTTTGATGTCATTCACCAGTGATTGGCACATCATCCTCAATGCTCCTAGCTGGCTCAATTGCCGAAATTCGGCATTTTTGCCCACTCCAAAGCACAAAGGATTTTCCACAAGTCTAGTCAACTTTGTCGCTCACTCCATTCTCTGCTCTAGAAAGGGCACACATGTCCATGCCATATAGCTCTGCTTCTGCTGCGTTTGCGGTCGCGGGGATGAAGAATCTAAGCTGCACATCTTAGATGATGCATCGGACAACATATTTCGATTCCTCTTCCAGACAATCCCCGACCACCGTGATAACCTTGAGACTTTAGCTGCATGTCTCCCTCGTTTGAGTCCCTCATTTTACGATATGAACCAATTCACTGCCCCGTCTATAACCTTTTCTCTTCGCACATACCCGCCACTTATTATCTCAAACCAAGAACTCATAGATTTCGCTAAACGGCATTCCCACTTACGGAATTAAAGTTGACTCATTATGTTCTTGATACGAAAGTCCGCCCCATTTCGATCGATGTAGTCCCATCAATCCTTGTTGCATGTCCGTAACTTGGGGAGCTAGTTCTTTCGTCCGAATCCCCTCATCGACCTCCTTTGAACAGAACCCTTTTAAAGGAACTTTCTTTCCCTACTTCTCCTATAACAGACTAGGCTGGTAACCTGCCTAATAACAGACCATTTCGAACTTCCCACCTTCCTCTATTCCATCGGAGGATATTGCCCTCAGATCTATGCTGGGTATTTGATTTGGAAATGAACCATCGAAGCGACTCCGTCGGCACTGGAAAAGGTGATTGGCCATTTGGTGGTTTTGTAGACAGGTAACCAGCCTATATTGGAATGTTCACGTACTACGGAACTGAGCGACATTTCGCTAGCGTAAACCGCCATTATTCCAATAGCATTTATAAGCATTTCGTTTTAGCCGGAAGGCACCATGGCCTGTATGGGAGGCCCAAAGGTTACGTTGAAGCGGAGCTGTGCCTAGCCTGATACTCGCGCTCGCCCTCAATGACTCCTCCCAGTTGGAGTAGTATGTCGGTCCCAGTGATCAAATGACCGTTCAGTGCCAGGGACCTACTTGAGCACGAGCGAGCCCCCTCATTGTCAGATCTGCGCGCGCCCCTTGCTAGACGTCTAGGTTCCATATCATTGTTGCAACTGAAAGTCCTTGAAAGGCCACTGGGTGTACAGGGAGTGATGCAATGATGATTGCTTACGGGACTGGATGTATGTGAGACGGCAGTGAGTGGTTCTCTCTGGATCAGGGACGGCGGGCACCATCACAACCGAACATGCAAAACGGAGTCCCTCTTGTGGAAGCTGGGCTTATACAAGCATAGGGGCGTCGGGCATCTCCCTCACTCGATATCTATCTATCTGGTAATGAATATGCATGACTGTAGCGTTTAGTTGAAGAACCAAGTCACAGCCGGTCGACTCTTCAGACGAGACACTAGTTCCCGAACAGTTGATTGGGTGTGGACTGTATATTTATTTGCTGGAAACACACGAAGCGGGCAGCGGAGATTTCGGAATTCCGGGTTCTCGAGTCCGAGACAGTAATCTTGTTGCACGTACCTCTATGGCCGTCTTCAGTAACGCCTGGCAGATACACAAGCGAGGCTCACGGTTGGAGCACGGAAGTCGGCAAAAATTAAATCGATGAGATTCAGTTCATGTCCTCAAACCCACGATGGTTTTAACGTCATTAGCGCTCAATCTCCATACAATACCCGAACCACTATAAAATTCATCTGCATCCTCTTCCTTGAAATTCGCGAAGAAACCATTCAATTCCCGGTATGGAATGAAAGAGATGAACTCACCTCATCTAGGTTCAAAATTGTCGAGATCTGTTGGAGTCGTTGGAACTTTTCCCGGCCGTCACCGAACTCTGCCAGAGTGCTTAGATAGCCTGATACGGAACGGAGATCACGATCGAAGCGGAGAGCCCCCAACTGTGCCAGCCGGTAATTGCCCATGTTTAGACGGACAACGATAAAGATTAGGGTACAAACCTCCGAAAATCTCATGGTTAATATCTGTTTTTCCCAATGGCGAGTAAGGACTTCTACAGTGAGGAGGAAGAATTGATGGTAATTCCCTCCCGTCAATGTGTCCTAAGGAACAATTTTTCCCCCCATAATGCGGAATCTGGAAAAAAACTTACCTGGAAGCCATCAAGTAAAGCGCCCCATAGTCTGGCAAAGCGTTTCCGAACCACATCATTGTATTCTGCAGCAGTATGTGCGTCCTGGTCAAGGTTGTATGAAACGTCTTTGTAAATGTCGGCAACGAATTGGCGTAATTTGGGTCGGATGAGTTGGTTGAACAGCTGCTCAATTCCAGCCTGAATATCGGTTGGGAGGTGTCAGTCCTGATGTGACGTCCAACACAGAGTATGCATACATGGAGAACAGATTTGAACGTCCCGGTTATGCCAAGGAGGGATGACACTGTTTTCTGAGCAGTTTCTACCTCAATGTCAAGATAGCTTTGGGTGATGAGTGTAGATGAAATAAGGTTCCGAACAAGCGTCTCTGTATGACTCGTGGATATTGATAAGTCATTTAACAGAATCTACAATATTTGACGATCAGAAAGAGTAAAACGAGAATGGGACAAATTGCCCACCATGAACGCAATTCGGTTTTCTTTCTCCGCTTTCTCGGTCTTCACTGAAGTGGACCCCGGCTTGCTGGTGTAAACTTCATCCATTTTTGTTTTGATTATTGCCGAATAGTCCCTTTCCAGAGTCGCTTTCACCATCAACAATAAATCCTTCAGATGACTCAACGTCCCTAAACTTATCATTCTGGTCAGAACCGCTTTGAGGACGTAGAAAACGTCATCCGGTGTCGTGTTCTGTGGAGGGGTGGCCGAAGAGTCGATGGCAGAAAGACGATGTGATTTGTCAATGATGGCACGGAGATACCAGGATTCGAGCGGGAGATAATAAGTTGACACGATTTTATCGAAAATGGAGGCAGATTTTGTAGCTTGAAGGACGGTTAGAATATCAGATGATGTAACACTAGACCTCGAGCCGTTTTTATCGGAGGGAGATTGCGCCTCCGTGTCCTTTCACAGATGTAAGGAGAGGGTCGGACACAAAGATGAATTATGGACTCACTTTGAGACGCTCATAAAGGAAATGATGGAAAAGGCTCCACCGTCCAACCATGCCGGACAGTTCGGATAGGAATTGGTCAATTTCACGTGGATCAGCAGATTCGACCTCTATTGTCGCAGCCACCTGCCTTCTTTGAGCGCCAGTGACGAGGCTGGGGAAGTGTATATTCATTGTATCTTGAAGCTATGCAGTGAACATCCGTCAGTATATTCCATGTCCATCGCTGAGATCGAACGGGGACGAGCCTTCCTTCTGGCTTGTCGGTCTTCCTCCCAGTTTTCAACCAACCCCACAACGGCTCTATCAGACTCCCCCAGAAGTCGCTCAATGACTGATCGCATCTTGCTGTCTCCGTAGTATTTTTCGACTACAGGCTGGTGCTGAGAAACAATAATGGCAATGCTTTCGAACAGCGAAGTGAGGGAAGAGACATAATGCATGGGCGAAGAAGCTGGTCGGAAAGATGTTTGACTATGTCATTGGCAAGAAAAGCATAGACTGACTCTTTCCCGATGATATCGGTCTGCTCCTCACCAGGTCGACTACAAAATCTGAATATGCCGCTAGGCCCTCTTTTTCCCAACCAATAGTAGGAAATAGTTTAAAGAACCGAGTTATCCCGGCTGAATCTCTGGCCGCAACGGCTCGCTCAAAGTTATCCCGGAAAGTGTGCAGGAGATAGTTCCGCGCTTCCGACAATGTCTCTATCGGAGGAAGATGCGATTCGGCACTCGGCTACTGAGACCACATTATCAACCTCGGAAAAGATCAAGAACCAAAGGGACTTACCACAGTCGCATCTGTGAAACGGCCACAGATAATGTCTTCGGGTATAGACATGGCCCGCGAACAGTGTCTTGAGGCGGATTCCCAATCTCTGGACTCCATAGCGGAGCGGAGATAGTCCAAGGAAGACTGGGCGCAAAATAGTAAGCGATGAAAGCGCAATTTGACGAATGAGGCCAACTTTCAGATCCAGAACTAGCCCTACACGCTCCAAAGCCTCACGTATCCTTCTCATTTCTTCGTCGAGGGCTTGCACTTTGCCTCTTACCCGTTCAGCAGTCTTGGCGGTAACCCCCACTTTTTCGGAAACATTGACGGCCTCGACACGAAGGCCATGGATCTGCGGCTTCAACGAGCTCAGGCGAGCCAAAGACATCTTCAGCGGCTCTCGAGCTTCTAGCAAAGCAGAGAGACCAGAAGAGAGCGCCGACTCTTCCGATTGTATTCTAGAGAGCGCAGAGAGCAGTTCTGGAAGAGTTCTGAGTTCACGGGCTACGAGGCGAGAACCACCAGTAGCTAGTTCCGCCTCCATTTCAGCTTTCTGTGCAGTCCTTTCAGTCGCGTCCCCGGCGCAAACATATGTCTACAATCCATCAAAATACCAAAAACTGAATCACAGTCCCTTGTTACCGTTTGTAGAGGAAATATTCGTTTCGTTTCTTTCCATCGTGTCTCCGAGCGTGCACTACAAAGAGCATTCACCCTCTGCTCACAGATCGTGCCTTTTCTTTCGTTCCTTTATTTTGCATTTAAGGACAGGTGTCTCACTTGACCCGTTCTGGTCCGGATGTCCGTCTTTCGCAAGCCATCGCTCCAAGTCTCGCCTCCAGACGAGCCATCTTTCCTCCCATCAGCCGAAAAAGATCAGAGTTGGATAAGTCGAACCTTAAAACGCGCTTCTTCCTCCAATAATCAAAATCCGCCTGCTCATGACCACCTCAGTGCTCGCGACCTCGCAACACGAAACGCGAGTGCTTCTTCGTTGTCCAGCTTAGCCGTTGCAGGTGGGGCAGATTTTCAACCGCCCCCAACGCCTCGCGCTCCTGGCACTATCAGCAGTAAACACACCCCTCGCAGTCACCGAGAGAGCACCACGAGCTCTGCTTTCCTTTCTGTTTCGCCAGCACATGGGCCACCGAACTCAAGTCCAACACTGCCTTTGGCGAGTCTATATCTTGTGTCAGGCCTTCCCAAGTCTCCGCAAACGTGGACCCTCGCCGATACCGATTCAATTCAGGGTGTACATCATTGCGAAGGTAATTTTTCCATGTGCTTCCATGCATGATGATATTCCGAACTTAATAAGAAATGGAATGACCTACAGGCGCTGTAGGACGCTTCTGGCGCGCAGAAGTTCTGGGAAGTAGCGTTACCCCTGGACTTGGGGGAAAGAAGAAACGCCGCGGGAAAGGGGTGGGCGAAGATGGGACAAGACGTCTTGGGATGCTCACTAAAACAGATCTTGGCAAAATGCTCTCTAAATCTCTCAAACTATCTTTTACCCGTGAGGTTGAGATCATTGCCAGTACCCTTCAGCCACCTTCCACGGTCCATACGTTCACCTTTCAGCTCCCTGGATCGTCGGACGAGCCCTCCACGACGAGCAATGGAATCCTCCGTACTTCCATGTTAAGCACCACTACCAACGGGGAGCGTTCAATGCACGGAAATAGTCCGTACCTAGATCCTGCTTTTCCCCGACCGTCTTCAACCTACCTTGGCCCCTCAAATACCTTTACATCAGCAGCAGCGGCTTCGGACGCATCTTCTAGTGCAATAACTTACTATGGTGTCTGCCTTACTGTTTGGTCGCACGCAGATGAGGACCGTTCCGCCGCAATCCGAAAAACTCTCGAAGAGGCTGCGCGACACAGAAGTGGCCCGGGGGGGCCAGGTCACCGAAAGTATCCAGTGTGTCAACAGACACAGAAGCAGGGGGGAAAGGCAGCGGTGGAAGGAGGAAAAAGCCGAATCCATGGAGCGCCACTGAGGCCGAAGACAGTGAGCTTGGCAGCGATATTGATGGCATCACAGGTCTGGCCGCGCCAGGGGAGAATCCTGGGGCTTCAACACTGTTCTTGCCTCCTAACACAGTGTTCTGGCTACCTTATGCGCTGAGTGGGTATAACTATTGTTGTCGACGTGAACCAATCACCAATGGAACTTGATTTCAAGCGCTTGTGTCAAGGCATCCCATCTATGATTTGATGAGAGATTATCTTACTCTCTCATGGGCGCGCTTCAGCAAAGACGTCCAATCACATACTCTGTGTGTTGCCTTCCTCATTCCTCCTTGGCGGAATATTCACATCCCGTTTCAGTCAGATTTCCAAAATATTAGAGTATCCTGCCCCCGGGCGGGCGAGATGGTTAAGATAGATGCTGGTGTCGCAGGCGAGACACTGGAAGTTGTATGTCGATTCCCTGGAGGACTGGATTTTGGAAGGGGATTGGTTGACGTCAATGTAACAGATCTTTTATTCTTGGCCACGCTGAACAGCTGACATGCTTCCATAAGTTCACTATGTGGCCCTTGTTTCGGTGCTTAAACCTGGATAATATCCTTACCATCTGCGAGGTGTGTTCTTTGTTTTGCATTGGTGCTACTTATTCATTTTGTTTCTTGCCTTCAGCTGGCCCTGGCTCCAACCGGGCGTATACTGTTCCTTTCTAGACACTTAGCTATGCTTGGTGTACGTTTGCGTTTCCCAGCGAGTTTAAGAACGTCATTCACATCTACTCTCAGATTGCTGTCTGCACTATCAAATACTTGTGCGAATTACGGGGATGGAATGGTGTTTCAATGCCCACAGTGTATGTTATCACCATTTTTCACCAGCATCCCAAGATTCAGCTGTAATGCTTGATAACCCGCTATGCAGGCACGCTCGTGATGCGAAAATCTACCTTGAGGCATGTTCAAATGCATTGGTTAGAGCGTACAATTAATATCCCAACTATCTAGGATCCTGGCCCATGGATCATTGGCATGCCGACTGAAACCCGGTACATTACTACCATCTTACCTGAAGTCTGTGTTTGCGATCTGTGAGTTATGTAATTGGATCAATGTGGGTTGGGGTTCCTCATAATGCTCTGCACAACAGAGATATCAATTACGTGTAAGTTCATCAGTAGGGACTTTTTCACTGACATTGACAATGACTGTGCCGTTCGCAGCAATTGCTCAGCTCCTCCTCTGGGTGTCGTTTCAGTGAGGGCTCAGCGTGACAAGTCCCGTCGCACACTCATGGCGGCTTTCAATTCCTACTTCCACCCGGACCACTCTATTCCCAGGTAGCTGACACTCAATCATACGTTTAAGTATCCAACATCGCCTCATCCGTGTTCTCTAGTGAATTTAAAGAGGCATTTCCGGCTGGGCGATTCCGCCCCCTTTGCAAGATCACCACGAAGAAAGGCAATACCTCAACGCCTGTCGCCGAGATCATTCGTGCGCCCGACTGGTGGCACCAGACCAGAGTGGTGCAAGCCTTCGATGCGGTCCTTCGAGACAAGGTGAGACGGGAGGTACTTCGACCACGCACTTAGGACTCAAGCCTGTTCATCGCCCTCAGTATAAGAAGCCCAGCTTGTTTAAGCGTTTAATGATGCTGGGCCAAGTCAAACCTCCGAGCAGTCTCACTCCTGCAGAACGCTTTATTCAGTCTTCCATCCGCAAACGTGCATCAGCATTCGTCGACGCTCGCGACGATCTTGAGACGAAGATTGGTCGTCTCTCACGGCGGCTCAACTTCCTCATGACAGAGTCTGAGCTCTGGAGGCAAAAATTTGTTAGCTTTGAAGAGTATGCTGAGGCTTTAAGCTCAGAAGCCGCAGAGCTGCGTGCGAAAATTAATAAGGAGCAAAGAGAGAGCAAACGGTTGAGTGCTCAGGTAACCATTACTTCCCAGGAAAAGGAAGTGCTGAAGCAGAGTAGGCATCTATTCCGTCGTCCCGTCGAGTTTAGACTTCTTACATCACATTCTATTGCAGAGTTGGCTCAAACTGAGGCTGAGCACAACCAGGCTCTGATAGAGCTGGAGCGTATGCGTGAGGAAATGGAGGAAATGGAACGCGAACGTTCGCAAATGATTGCTGAGGTCGAGGCACAAATTGAGCGAGCTCTCGTGTCCATCGCCTTCAGTGACGGCAACTCCGATCTTTCCGACCTGGTCATATCGCGCCCTGGTTCAGCTATGTCCTCCCATCGTTCCGATTCTCGTCCGAGCTCAAGGAATGGTGGAGGGCCAGAAACGGGGAGCAGCCACAACCACACCCTTCGCTCGTTCGGCACTGCGACGACACTCGCGGAAGAACAAGCTATGGCGCTTGTTGAATCGCATCCCAATGGTGGCGAATCCACTGTGACTATAGGGCCTGTTAGGGAGGTGACCGACAAGAGATCTCCCACAGCTCTCTCCGAGAAGGCTCTGAGAAGGTTCTCGGTGACGAAACGGGACCACAGTGATGCGCTTGGTGGGATGGATAGAAGCATTTCAGAGCGTAGTGACGCCGTTGCTCAGAGAATGCTCCAGATTCAGCGCAAGGTGCAGTTTTCACCACAGCTAATGTCATCATTAGATGCTGACCTGCTCATATCAGCTGGATGCTGTTCGAGAAGCTAAGTACTATCGCACCGAGTCTGTCTCTAGTGCAAGGACAAGCTTAGAGGAGAGCGGTTCGCAAAAGGGCCCCGTTAGCAGGGCTTCTCGTGTCAGGTCTCCGCTTCTTCAACGCGCGTCGTCGATCAAGGAGTCGCCTGCCGAAACTCCGATCCAGTCCACGCCAAAGCTGGTTCAGCAAGAAAAGCCTGCTTCTCCAGTTAATCCCAGCACACCCCAGCCACCTATCGCCCCTAATGTCGATACCACCCCCCGTATGAGCGTTAGTTTGGCGAATGGTACAAAACACATCAGAGGATCGGCGTCTGTCTCACGCAAGCGGGTTTCAGTGCCCCCTTCATCCTATGCCTTCACAACAGATGACTCAGATGACTACCAAAGTGCCCTGGACCACTCAACGTATGAGTCTGATGGTGTCGACGAGGATAATGGCTCGCCCACCCAAGTTGTACCCGAGGATTATAGTAAAGGAGTCCCTGGTGCATATGCAGACGAAACCCCTCGTGAATCTTTGGAACGCGGGACCAAGGTTTTGGAGGAACAGCATTCCCAGCAGAACCTCAAAGCCGGATTTTTAGGGACCCGTGCTAGAGCATCGAGCGTTGCCACAAGTGCCGCTACCGAGAGGCCGAGGTTTTGACTTAGAGGGAACGTATCAACCTTTTCAATTCCAATTCACAGCTCTTCTTACAGTGATTCGAACCAATAATTATTATGTATTCGTTTTAAACACTTTATTTTTTGTATATACTCTGGGTCCACCTTCGTCTTATGCTAATTTCTAGGTTTCATTGTAATTGTGGTCCCTCACTCGTGGCCAACGACAAAGTCCCTCCAGAGTCTCAGCTTAGGAAGCGAACTTGTTACTTGTTATGCCCTATCCGTGCGCGTGCATTGCGGCGCTGGCTTTGTGGGTGGTTCGCTCGTCAGTGAATCCACACGGGCAAGTCAGGGGTAGCTCCGGGATATCAGATATTTAGTACCGTCCTTTGCCAGTGGAGCACACAGGGCGGGGGCGCAGCTGAAGCATACATATAGGGCGCTCGACCCGGATACAGATAGACACAAGGTAAATAAGCACAAAGACCAAGTTTTGAGTGGCGAGTGTCAGGGACAAATAAACAATCGGACTATGAACAATGGGCAATCCTTTGATTTGTCAAATCACGTGGGACAATTTTGTTACTGTAATCGCTACCCAAATATAATCACACGCTTTGAGAGTCGGGCTTCCCGCGTCCACTTGGCCAGTCATGGCGTCGCTCTTTAGGCGTGCGGGCTCCGCTTCGGATGATGAGGGCCCACGTCAGAGGAAATCGGTACGCGTTTTGCGTTTCATCGAGCATGTTCGGCTACCTCTGATCACTTTCTTCAGCTCGCTTCCTCGAAGGAAATTGGTGACCGATTAGCTCGTATACTACGCTCGACACGTTCCCACTCGCATCTCGAATCCACTCCAGCGCTACCCCCTCTTGAGATGCCTCCGGATACTCTTGACCTTACTAGTGATTGGTCACCCAGTAGATCACCTCCTACAACCTCTCCTTTCAGTGCCTCCCCACGATTTCAGGCAGTTGTTCCCACAAGTCCACTTGAGGATTCTGCGCTTTCACACTCCCCTCCTTTTCAATCCCCGTTATCAACTAGTTTTACATCAGACATGGAGTTATCAAAACACGCCCCCTCTTCTGTTACGAAGTCTCTCCCCACCATTTCCATTGAATCAACATCGCACAATGTCACTCGCAGGCAATCCAAGATTGGATGGTCTACTTCAATCGCTGAAAGGCTACGTTCCTTGCCCTCCAAACCTGTCCCCACTGGTTACATGAGTACGACCGATGGCATGGATACGGAGACGGAATGGGATGATGCCGCGTTCTTTTCTAGTCACTCGCAGCCGCGTCTACTCGACATATCTTCTGATCATTTGTTTTCGTCCGAAGATGACAGAGTACAACCTCGGACCTGGACTGCCGCTGAGAAGGGCAAAGGCCGTGCAGAACCCTTGGGGTTCCCAAGTACTCGTCCACACACCGCATCCAATGCCAGTTCTGCGTCCTCCGGGGCTCCACCCTCGAGCTTTCTTCCTGGGAGCACCACCCCACCACCGCCGGTCCCACCGCTTCCCCCACAATTTCAGTCAAGTGCGGCAGTTAAAGACCAAACGAAGACCTTATTCGTAGACACGAAGCGAACTTCACTTGAGGAAATACCTCAAGGGGAGGATTTTGTTATCGCGATTGTTGGCCCACCGAAGTGCGGGAAGAGTCAGTTCGTCTGGAAAGGGCTCAAATGTTGGGGCCTGGAGTATGAACCAGCAGCCACGCAGTTTGGAGCAACAACTAGTGCGTATTAGGTTGCCCCATCATCTAGCTTTTTTAACCCGATATTTCAAACCATAGCTCTTACTCGCAAAGCATGGATAGTGGCGAAGCGGCAAGAATCCGAACTTCGGACTCGCTTCCGGGGAGTTTTCCTGGAGGTGGACTCCCAACAGCTTGTCAGACCGGACACGCGGGAAGCGATCGAACACGATACCGGGCAGTGGGCTTGGCCCGAACCGCTTTCAAAGATTGACGCAGTGGTGATATGCTACGATGGTAGCGATATTGATAGTTATCGTGAGATTGTCGATCTCTGCGGTGAGTTGGGATGTTGCCTATCAGTTTGTGGTGTGGACACTCAGGCTCCTTGACGATTCTTAGAAGCGTATCATCGCTTGCAAATTCCGGCCGTACAAGTTCATCTCAAGTCGGATTTGCCGTTCCAGGTGAACCCTTACCTATCTCATCGTTGTGCCAACCATTATTCCACGGGATTAGCGAAGGTGTCAACAGAGACCGAAGAGGGTAAGCAACGATGCCGTGACGTCTTTCAATGGCTCTTCAAGTGCATACTCAAACAAAGCGAGTAAATCCCCTTGATCTCTGCAGCGCTATCTAATGTCCCCCCTCTCTTCCTTACCAGGAGAAGGCCGATTGCCGTATGGAAACAGCGAGTATTGGAGAAATCCTGCATCTCCTGAAATGCTCTCTCCAAGAACGTGGGAGTTTGCCGAGCATGAACCTCCCTCGCCTCCTGCCGCTCATCTCCCTTCGCTTCCACCCTCTCGTACTCACACGCCGACAAATGACGCCTCGATCCGTTTAAGTGGCGAGAAGGAGAACACTCTCGATGCAATGCCCGCGGCACCTCCAAATCAGTTTCCTGAGCTAGTTGGTCCTGAGCCGAAGAAAACTGTCCCTAGTGCTTACATGGGTAGACGGCCAAGTGTGGTTCGATTCACTGGTGTTGATGAGGACGATTTGGAGAGGCCTTTGACACCTCCCGATTTTAACCGCGTTGCAACCCCCCCTGTGGTCACTTCTGGTACCGATACCACTCCTAAGATTACTGTGGTCGACGAGGCGCCCTCGGGCGATGAAGTAAGTAAGCCACTGAAGCAGAAGCCACTGTTGCCGCCCCCACCAGAATTGTCCCCTGTTGACAAGGCAATCCGTGACGCTCAATTGGCAAAGTGCGTAAGCTAGCTATTCTTTTCTTTGCCACTGACAGCGCTCCCGGGATAGGAAGCGAAATAATCCCCAGTTGTTTGGTACTTTTGATACGATTATCAACAAGCTTATTCATGTTTGTGTGACACTTGACAGTTAGTTCCGTTTCTAGCCACGTTGTGACCACAGCGTTGATTGAATTTGTCTAGATACTGAATTTATCAACACTTTCCTCATCACTTATCGACAATTTGCTACCCCGCGTAAAGTTCTTGCGGCCCTTCGCAAGAGGTTGGCAGTCCTCGCCCTTGAACAAGTGGAAATACCACTGGCACATTTCACTGAGCTGAAGTCAGTTTGACAACATCCATTTGAGCCGGTCGACCTGATGTTCGTCTTTTCAGAATTGCGGGTTTCATTGAACGATGGCTCAACGAGCACCCAAACGACTTCTCCAGCAAACGCGCAAATCTTGAGCTCATGACAATCCTTCGAATGATGGTTAAGCGGACGCATTTGTTACATTATGCAACCGATTTGCTCCCCGTTGCGAAGCGTGTCGCAAGGATAGAAGATGACCCGGATGCGGCGTGGACCATTGCAGAATCAGAGGAAGAAACTATGACTGAGGCAGAGGGACCTCGCAAAGCTGGACGTCATGTCAAGAAGAAGAGGTCGACAAGGCAGAAGGCCCATGGTATCCGAGTAGCCGTCTCTACTACTACGACAGTGAGGGAAGTTGACGAGTCGGGACCCGCTGAGACCACGGCACAGCGAGGCGATGGGTCAAAGGCACAGTTGCCTGTGCCGCCCACGTCTCCTACGGAAGACCGCAAAATTGCGGTTACGATCTTACCTTCGTCTCTGACGAATCAGAAGGTACCAAAGCGCAGTCGATCGACGCTAGCACTTTCGTACCTAGACTCTTTCCGGTCTCCATCGAGGAAGACGATCAACCCGCTGCCGTTGGATGCTGACCCTAAGACTATGCTCAGGGAATTGAATAAAGCTGTGGACATTTTTCTGAAGATGAGTTCTCCAGAGGTTGCGGAGCAGATTACGAGGGACCTTCTACCGATTTACCTTTCAGTTACCGTGGGCGACCTGTCATTCCAGCTTAACGAGTGGGGTGCTAACATTTTCCCCCAGCCCCGGGACTGGTTGCGGCACGTTTACAGGTCACAACGAAAAGAAGAAGTTGTTCAACCCACTGTTCTCGAAAAAATTGCGTCTGCCGTCGCTCACAGGTTCTACTATTGGTTCGCTATTATTAACCTAAATAAATTTTTAGTACGCACTGACACCTGCCTAATCCCAGGGTACTCTCGATGATCATTGCCCCTGATGGCTATAACAAGCGTGCCAAAGTGGCAGAACACTTCATTCATGTTGCCGACGCACTTCGCAAGCACAACAATTACTTTTCTCTTCACTTTGTCATCAATGCAATTCGACAGGCTGTCCCTGATCAGGGAGTTTTGTACCAGAAGTTGGTGGACGTGGAGGAATCGCCATGGAAGCGCTTCCTTTCGATGGAAGTACTTGTTTCAGCTTTTGGAGGGTCGAAAGCGTATAAGCTTGCACTTCAAAATTCGTCGGGCCCAGTTCTTGTGGACCTGTGAGTTTTCTCTGAATACTTCAGGATCATCCGTCTGACGAAAATTGTGCTAAGGTCATCGCATACCAAGTGGGCAGCTGGAGTTACTGAGAACATGTCAGCGTACAAGCCTGACAACAAGGCTAAGATAAACTGGTCCAAATATGAGTCTCAGGCCAAGATTATCCGAGCAGTCGTGGCGTACCAGAAACGCTTTGATACTTGCGATAGTCATGCCTTCCCTGAACGGTCACTTATCAGGCACGTATTGGATGACACTCCAATTTTGCCTCGTGAGGTATGTATTCTAGATCTCAAGCAGTTAATGATGCTGACTATGATCATGGCAGGTCATCATGAGGCGGATCCTACCAAAGACTCCAGAAGACGGCAGCGAGCATCCAACGTCCCACAAGTTCAGGAAATTCCTTGGCCTTCACGAACCCACCGACTCGCCTTCAGCTTAGCGCACCGCTACCTGCGTGCACCCCACACTTTGTCTCTGCTGCACTCATCCTCGTCTTTCCAAATTGATTTGCGTTCCGCGCTACACACCCACTTGGCAACCCCCTACGTTTGTTTGATTTATGATTCTATTTTCGTAAACTCCAGTATACCCATTGTAGCTCCTCCCTCGTGTTTCCCCTGTGCAGTCCAACTTGTTTTCTCCCTTCGTGTCTCCGTACCATTACATTTGTGGCTGATGATGTCTCCTGTTTCAACATGTATCTAACCATCTAAGGACAACAACTCGTGTACAGACCATTTGTGAGTGCACTAATACATTCACTGGAATGGTTGCTTTGCAACCATGACCACCTTGGATACCCAGTATCTAGGCCTCTCAGGATGTTTGAAGAGGCCTTGTATGTGATCGTTGAAAGAGGGTGGCCAAACTCTGCTTTCTCCACTCAACTTTGCTATCCTTGATCCTAAAACTCCATGGTGGGTTCTCCGGGATTTCTGCAAGGTCTGGGCCCAGTGTCCACTACCCAGTTGTTGTGAGCTAGACAGTTGCCCTTATTCCTACTGTTGGAATTGCACTGACCAGTGTCAGGGACGCGTCCGGGGTCGAGAGGGCCCGGGGGTAATATCCGGCACTGAGGCCGTCGCGGGGTGTGGAGCGGGTGTGCGTACTGGCAGGCCCGATCCGGGACAGTGGTCCCTGGCCACTCAGACTGAAGTGGAGAATGTGTTATTATTATTAAAGGGGAAAACTATACTACTTACCTGAAGTGGAGAATGTGAGAAGAAGGTTACTTCTTCGGTTCCCACTTCAGGTACATTTATGTACATGCGGCTTGAGTCACATGACAGGTGCCACGTCATCCTCGGAGGCAGCCGCAGGCATCCGGGTGTCCCCGTGGGGGATCCTGAGAGCGTCCGCTACATGCGCGTGTGCTGGGCACAGCAGGAAGCCGTCCGGGGTGTGTGGGCCAGACGGGTCAATAGTACATCGATACAAAGGAAGGTGGTCCGTGTAGATAGAAAGAAATAAACAGGAAGAGGAAGATGAGAAGAATGAAATAAAGAAAGGGGAAAGAAAAGGAAAAAGAAAGGGGAGGAGAGGGAGGAAGGAGGGGGGAGGGGGATAGACAGCGGGGAGCGGGTGTGGTGTGGCTGGGTGGGCCCGGGTGGGCCCGGGTCAGGCAGGTGTGCCCTGACAACCAGTTGATGGTCAACTCCTTATATACATGAAAAACATGTGAGATGAAACAAGAGAAATGGACTAGACATCTAAGTCATACAGGTAGTTGCAAAGCTACAGGGTGATGACCTTGGGGGAGTCAGAGGGGATTGTGGAAACCGGAGGCTCTGAGGTTAGTGAGGAAGGAGTGGAGGCAATCCGGAAGGACTGGAGGTGATGGAAGGTGATGGCCATGGATGGATATGACACCTCTGCTGTACTCACTGCCAGTACTGAAAGGTTTTGCTTACTTGTTTGGGGATGTAACATTCCGTTCCCCTGTTTGCCTCAGGCCTCAGATATTCCATCTAAATATAAGCTTTAATGTGCTGTATGTTCAATGGGGTAGAGGTAAAAGGCTACTGGGCCTTTACAACTACTTTGAGGTATATATATGTAAATTACATATCTCTGTTAGAACCGGCGGATTTGGATGACTCCGGAGTGGAATCGGAGACTTAGCATGGAAGGACCTCAGCCTCAGCAACTCAGGCGGAGTGCTGTGCCATTGCTGGTTGTCCTGGGGGTCCCTAATTTCGGATCTAGCAGAGGGAAAGTCTCTTGGGGGGAATTCAGGTCGATTTCGGACTGAGGTTACAAGTTACTAAGTACATTGTATATAAGGAGGGGTCCGGAATCAAAAGGAGTGAGGGTAGGACAAAAGGAGACAAAGGGAGATGGAAAGAGGAACAACACTGAGGGTCAAGGGTTTGACTCAATGGTGTTTCTCAAAGGAGGAATGAAGGGCCAAGACCCAAGGAGGAAGGAAGGAGGTTGGGAGTGGGGAATGGCTAGCTGACTGAATAGAAAGGAAGCAGCAGCCCAAATAGGAATGAGGGAGTACAGCGGAATTGAATAGGACAATGCAATAGTTGCAAGGTCCGAGGTAAGTCCGGAAAGTCCGAACTCGGAAGTTAAACTCCGGAATATTGGCAAAGGTAATTAAATGGAATGAGCTAACCAATACAATGGGTATAAGTGGAGGTGGGGTCAAAGTCCAAGGTCGGAGCTAAGACTGGAGGTTCTGGAGATGGAGACGCAAACAGGATTCCGGAGCAGAGGTCCAGAGTCGGGAGCATAGGTTTTGCATACTCGTCTGGAAGGTGTCGTGGTTGGGGTTGGACCTGGAATGTTCTGGAGTTGGACTGAAGGTGGTGTCCGAGCCGGAGGTGGGATAACCTCTTGGGAGTCAGCAAGGAGAAGGTGACGGAAGGGAAGTAGGGCTCCAGAAGTCGGAGTTCGGAGTTCCGGGAGCCCGGAGCAGAGGTCAGGATTGCATGGATATGACAATCTCAGCACAAATAAATAGAGAAGTAACAGCATCACTATAATGGGAATTATAGCAATACAACATAGTATAAATATCACTATAATTGAGATTATAGTTAATCATCAGCAAAAGTCCGTTATGCTCCAGAGCATCAAGAGCAACTGGAGCATGTGGGAGACAAAACAGCAGATTGGGCACTCCTGGAGCCAATAGTGTTCTCCTGGGAGGGGGTTCAGGAGCAGCTGGGAGTGGTGAGGAGTATGCAATGTGCCAGGAGCAGTGGGAGGAAAATTTTGGTCTCTAAAAAGTTGAAAAAAAAAATTTAGGGAAAAAAATCAAATAAAATTCAGGAACTATAGTGTCTTTAAAGTGCTTTCAGGACATATAATTATTTGCGAAATTGAGGAAGAAATGATGGAGAAAAATGGAAAATACTTTTGGAGACCCAAGAAATAATGAGAACTGAATTGATGGGGAAGTCTGAAAATTGAGTAGGAAAGTGAGGGGAAGCCTTGTAGCATTGTTATTTTCTGCTGTTCTGATTTTTCCTGATTGTTCTTGGTCTCACTCCCAGCTGCTCCTGGACCCTCCCAGGAGCTTTCAGGAGCTTCCAGGAGTATTGAGGAGCAGCTGGGAATGAGACCAAGAAGAATCAGGAAAAATCAGAACAGCAGAAAATAACAATGCTACAAGGCTTCCCCTCACTTTTCTATTCAATTTTCAGGCTTTCCCATCAATTCAGTTCTCATTATTTCTTGGGTCTCCGAAAGTATTTTCCATTTTTCTCCATCATTTCTTCCTCAATTTTGCAAATAATCATATATCCTGAAAGCACTTCAAAGGCACTACAGTTCCTGGATTTTTTTCCCTAATTTTTTTTTTTCAACTTGTTAGGAGTCCCTATTTTTCAAATTTTCCTCATTTCCCCCCCATATTCTGCAAGCCTGAAAGTGATTAAGTTGCCAGATTAATCATATATCAGGCCATAAATTTTGATTGTGTATTGGTGAGTCTCAGTGTCCTTGATATATAGTATAGTGTTTGATCTAAATGTTAAGCAGTGTCTTGTTGTGTTAGTCTTGTGGTAGGAGGTATTCATGGGGAATCTTCCCTCCTTTTTCCTTTTCATTTTCAAATGCTCCAGGAGCTCCCAGAAGCTTCTCACCCCTATACACTTTGAAGCATTTAAATTGTATCTACTGGATATGTTTGTGCACAAAGCAATGTTCCATGCCCTCCTGGGAGTGCCCTGGAGTACCTGGCCAACTCCAGAGGAAATGAGCGGTTCCTGGACCAGCCAATCTCCTCCTGATTCTCCCAGTGCTCTCCATACTCTGGAGCACTCAGGAGCATAACAATTTTTTGCTGATGATCCCTTACATAGTACACTCCCAGGAGTGCCAAGTTACTGTTGTGTCACGACCGACAAATCCCGGGGCTCCGTCAGCAGCAAACCCATGCCGATAGGCGAATCCGCTGACCTGAAACCCATCCTAACCAGCCCCCAACCCCATGTCTGGCCCCCTGCCTTACTGCGTGAGACTTGGCCAATAATCAGAACCTAGACCTGCCGGTATTCCGACCTTACCTCCAGTTCCTGAGCCCTTGGCGCTCCTGGCATTCAGTCATGCCTGCCTTGTCTCCATCTGAACCACACTCATCGCTTCCCGCTATGTGGTCACAGCCATGCCCCGCTTCCGTGCATTCCGCACCCTCTGCCCACTCCGCACCCTCTGCCCATCTCTGCACCTTCTGGCCACTTCTGGTTGCCCTTGACACCTCTGGTCAGGTCAACACTCCCACTCCCCTCTGTACCTCTGTTGGCCTTCATGCTGTCCTTGTGTGACAGTGCTGGCAGATCAACCTCTGTTCGCGGACTTGTGTCGGCACCGCACTGACCCCGCTTATTTGCGGACTTGTATCGGCGCCGCGCGCTGACCTCCGCTTTTCCTCTGGCCATTTGTCACTTGGCAGCTTATCATTCATTCCTTGCCGAGTGCCATTTATTGTTTGCTTCCCTGCCAATATTGGCATTTGATCCCCTCTTTATTGGCACTAGGTTATTGATCTCATTCAGTTATTCATCAATAACCCTTGCCACTTATTGTTTATTGATCTGTCCCTCGTTTCCAGTTCCCGGGCTCTTGTCCTTATTTAGTTTGACAATCCCCACTTATCTCCGCGCTGGACCGCGCCGGACTGACCGGCCTTTCTATATTCCCTCTTGCCTATTTATATACCTTGTAAATACTTTTGGGGACCTCAGTCTGAAATCAACTAGAGTACCCCCCTGTCTGGTCTGAGTCCCTCCTTCTGCAAAGGGGGCTTCCCCCCTCTGAGTCCATGCTCGCGGAGTCCGCGCTCCTCCTATAGGTCCGCTCTGCCCGCAAGTCTTGTTTGAAGTCCACTGTAAGTGTCAGTTTGTAAATACAGGATCTCCCCCAAACGTCAAGCTCAGGGCACAGCGCTCCACCTGAGTCACTGAGGCTGCGATCCCATTCTGCTAACTCTGAACAGCGCTTCCGGACGCGCCGCATAATTCCGCCCGCATATCCGCGTGTGCGCTCCAACAGACCTCTGCATCACCTCCGACCCCGACTCAGACAGAAACCCATTCCGTCTTCAACTCTGACATGTTGGCCAACCCACAGGTTATACATTCAGACACTCTTCCCCTTCCACTCTCCCTCCAATGGCTATGCAGCCACCTCCACCTGTGAGCAGAATGGCTCAGGTTGGGTTCCCTGGAACCCATTCCTGTAACACCAGCCCTGTTGTAAATCCGGAGTTCCATATATGGCAACCCGCTTCAGCGGTTCACTTGCAACCCAGATGTAAGGGATGGACAGGGATGGGATGATGCACACTTTGCA